TGAGAATCTAAAGACTTACAATAATGTAAACCTATCTGGTGACCCCTAGGAAGTAGGTGAATTTGAGTTCACAGGCCGGTAAAATATCGTAATACCGATTGTAGGCAATATCTATTCTATTACAAGATATGCCGGGGAACTTAAAATTGATATAATATATGAGGCGCGAATTAGTTGGAGCGTTTGGACAGAATTCTACTTACCAGGTGTCCAGCTCAGAATTTTTAATACTGAGAGCTTCACGAAGTGCATTTAAGCCTAGATAAGACAGCTTAGAAATAATAATCTCAGTTTCCTTTTCTTCGTCCGCTGAAATGTGTAACTCCTCACCCGAAGAAAACTGATGGGAGGTGGAAGTATCGGATCTAGTAGAGAGCATCGCTAAATATGTGGAAGCACCAGACAAAGTTCGCGAAAACGTACTTGGACCGACCGGGGAATGAATGCGAGCATAAAGCACAACACAGGTTGCTTCACGATTATTCATGTACATGTCTTCCCGGAGCCGTTCTACAAGTTCGTCTGACAATGTTCGAAGCCAATGCAATATAAGTGTTTGTGAAGTTAGAGCATTTTGGCCCAGAAAGTTTTTGCTGCAACCAATCGACTTTGGAAGGCTACGAGGAGTTACTGGCTCTGTGTCAGTGCCTCGACAGAGAGCATATAACCACGTGCTAGATAAAAGGCAAAAAAAGTGTTATTTGCTATACATGAATACGAATTCAGAATATAAGAAATGCAATATAAAAACATACGCGGTTTTTTCACCAAATGCAGCAGTCAGATGTGACAGTGGAATCTTCGATAATTCACCTAAGTTCTCTATTTTAAACTGCTCGGCGACAGATAACCCAAGTTTTCCCCCCAAATTTCGACTTAAAATAAGAATTTTTTAAAAAGAAAAATGCTTACATTTTTTTAACAGGAGTATTGGATAGTAGAAAATCAACCGACTCTGGCGGAACCATTGTTTGCCTATTGGGCTTATTTAGTGAACATGCGAGTTTTGCAATAGTCTGTGTAAGCCAAAAAAATTAATAAGAAAGAGAAACACAGTTTAAAACTTTCAAAAACAAAATGGGCGTGGGGATAGAGATGCTACCTTATTTTGGGCGATGCCAACAGAGCAGCTAAAGCCAGTTTCATTAAGAATAGCTTTTCTTATTTCCCAAGACAATTCGGACGCAACAATGAGTTGAGAACCAGATTCTAAGGTGCTAACCAAGAGTTCTCTCCAATTTTTGTGATTAAGTTCTAGGCTTAAAGAAGTCGAATTTGTGGATGAAAGAAACGGGGCGGCCTTTTCAGGAGGTAATACGACGTGATTACCGGGATAAAAATTCAAAGTTTCCATCGAAATACTACGATCTGCAAGCCTTTTATTTACAGCATCTTAAAATGAAGACTAAAAGAATTAATACTCGTAATGTCGAGATATGCTTCATCGATACTTGCCCGTTCTATGTCATTAACAAATCGAGAAATACAGTCCATGACCTTAGTACTTGCTTTCCTAAATCTAGAAAAAAAGAGTTAAACGATATTTTACTTTCTTAAGTCCGCCTTTCCTCTACGGGATGGCACTTTAAAAAGAATTATATCAGGACATTTTTCTTTAGCATCATCTCCACGCATAATCCTGGTAACTCCAAGAGATCTGGCCTCATAGCTTACTGCAATTATTCTATAACCGAATAATTGTGCAAAAAAGCAATAAGTACCCGCCACCTTTCCAATCATTATATTGTACAACAGCACATGGCTTCCCTTTTGTTTCTGGTTTCTCGGATTGTAACACTTGAACATAGAAACAATCCATATCTAGTAAAATAACAATCCTATCCATCTATATCCTGCTTTTAAAAACTGAGCGGGAAAAAACAAAAGCGTGAAGCTGAGGCTAGATTAAACAGGTCGCAAACTATCTCAAGGCACTATTGTAAGTTGGTTAAACAATAAATTTAATTTATTCAACAAGTAAATTTATATCACAGC